CAGTGTGGCTGGCCAGCGGTGCCAGGGGAAGTGAGGGAGTCTGAGAGGCCAGTGGGGGCACGGGGAGCCTAGGCCAGGGGACTCCCGGCTGAGGCCAAGGGAAAGGGCAGCCACAGCCCCCTTGGGCTGCTGTGGGGAGCCTAGGAGGAGGTCAAATGCCAGAGGGAAGTGCCCAGCCCAGTTGGCCGCTACTGCACCAGTCCGGGGAAAAGACAATAAGCGCTCGGTCCAGGGAGCCAACCTGCAGGATTGGTGAAGGGGCAGGACTGGGCTGGCTCTTTGAGAGGACTCCACTGTGAACAGTTCAGTCCTGGTACCATTTGGATTTCTGTGCCGCCAGTGACTTCCCAGGGGTGTGGCGTGTGGAGCAGCCTCAGTGGGTCCTGCCTGCTGGGCACCCCCATCTCCAACTCTGATCCCCCTTTGTGGAACATCCCTTCCTATTCCCAGCCCCTGGGTCTCTCTCCCTGACTCCAGGTACCCCAGATGTGGCTGCATGCATAACTAGTCCCTCGACCCCTTCACCCCCACCACTGCCTCAGTGATGGGCACAGGGGCCACAGTCCGCACACTCTCACTAAAATTACTGAAAACATGCCCGGCCAGCATGGCTCAGAGGTTGTGTCAATCTATGAACCAGGAGGTCCCGGTTCGATTCCCGGTCAGGGCATATGCCTGGGTTGCGGGCTCGATCCCCAGTGTGGGGTGTGCAGGAGGCAGCCGATCAATGATTCTCTCTCATCATTGATGTTTCTACCTCTCTCTCTCCCTCTCCCTTCCTCTCTGAAATCAATAAAAAATATAATTAAAAATAAATAAAATAAAATTAGTGAAAAGGTGCTCTTTTTCCACCAAGGGGTCAAGCTGGGTAAATGGAAGCCTGGGGAAGGCAGGGGTGGGGGGTGAGGGGCAACTTCCTGACAGTGAAATCAATGCAGACCAGGGCAGAGGCAAGCAAGACAGGGTCTTTCTATCATCTGAGGCTGGGCTCCAGTGGCTGACTCTCAGCTCCGCAGGCCAGGTGGAGCACCTTCATTGATTCGGGGTAACATTTGTGAATAAAAGTAAATTGCATTTCATTGTGAGAAACGTCTGAGACCTCAAAGCTCACCTCATCTTCCTCTGGCATCTGCCCCGCCTTCCCAGAGCAACAGCTCCCTGGGGACAATGACAGTTCTGAATGGACCAGCCTGCCACACTGTTTCATTTATTCTTCAGGGCAGCCTTGCCTGGATCAGGATCCAGACATGCGCACTGGCTGGTGTCAAGTAGGAGACTTGGGAATGAGCGCTCTCTAAGCACCAAGACCTGGTGCCTGGTCCCAGCCTTGAGGCTATGTCTCTGTCCACCTCTCAGATCTCAGCTCAGACGCATGCATCAGAGAACCCTTCCCTGACCGCTCCCCAAACTAGGACTGGCCCTCTTCCCACCCCCTTTCTAGACATCCGGGCTTTCCCTTTATAGTGGTCAGATTCATAATTAAAACTGTGTGATGTCACCCATCCAGTGTTGCTCAATGGTTGAGCATCAACCTATGAACCAGGAGGTCACGATTCAATTCCCGGTCGGGGCACATGCCCGGGTTGCAGGCTTGATCCCCAGTGTGGGGTGTGCAGGAGGCAACCGATTAATGATTCTCTCATCATTGATGTTTCTCTCCTCTCTCTCTCTCTCTCTCTCTCTCCCTCCCTCCCTCTCTGAAATGAAAATGTTATTTTAAAATAAAAATAATTGCCCTGGCCAGTTTGGCTCAGTGGATGGAGCGTCAGCCTGCGGACTGAAGGGTCCCAGGTTCGATTAGGTCAGGGGCATGTGCCTTGGTTGTGAGCACATCCCCAGCGGGGAGTGTGCAGGAGGCAGCTGATCGATGTTTTCTCTCCCATTGATGTTTCTAACTCTCTATCCCTCTCTCTTCCTCTCTGTAAAAAATCAATAAAATATATTTTAAAAAAATAATAAAAAAAATTGTGTGATGCCTTATTTACTAGATATCTCTGAGCTATAAGGACGGAAGTGACTGGTTCTCTTTTACTCAGCAAAAGAAACAGAATAGATGCATAGAAAACATCTGTCATAAGGAAGGATGGAATCCACTGTGCTTGGGCCCCACCAGCACTTCCTGTGAGCAAGGCCTAGGTCTCACTTCTGCTGACAAGCAAAGCAGAAGAGAAGATGGCCTCCCGACCACGACTCTGCTGACCTGTCAGAATTTAGGGTGCCAAGACAGTGATCCTGTTTTCTAGCCTGGTAGGAAGTTTCTTTTGTCGGTGATGGGGGTGGGGGGCAGGGAACAGAAGCTAAAATCATCGGAGGGCCAGAGCAGATAAGGAACATCTGAAAGACAGCCACACTCAAACTCCCAATTTTTCCGTGTCAATTAACTGAACCATATTTGCTGACTGAAGAGTTTCCAAAGTCCTTCAGCCCACCTCGTGGCATTTTGAGGAAGCAGGATGAGAAGCATTCCCTTCATCTTCAAAATGATGAAGGTGAGGCTAGGCGAGCTGGCTCACCCTCACCATTGCCTCACGCTGGCTCTGGGTGGAAGGCTGCCTCTCTAAGGTGAGGAGGACTCGGGCATATTTTAGTATCAATTGCTTGCATTGATAATTATGTTGCAACCTGCATCTCTGTGTTAGAAGAAACTTCAGGGGTCATTTCACTGGACCTCCTAGGAGCTGTAGGTGCCGTGTGACTGCGTGCAAGTCACGGCTCCTCTGAGCTTCAGTTTCTTCCATCGGCAAACAGAGCGATGGAGAATGATATCTGGGGGTCGCACAACTAAAGACACTGAGAAATTTTATGATCCCCAAACTGCCGGTGCTTTTGGATGTTACTCTCTTCCCTTTGCAGGAGTCACCACACCCTAAATAAAACCCCTAAATAAAACCACAGAAGTTGTCGACTAAGAATTTGCAAAGCTGATTTGCATGTGATTTGCACAGCGTGTTTATCGGCGCCCAAAGAGGTCTACTCTTCAGAAGGCTGTGAGGCTGGCCCTGATGAATCTCTCAGGACAAGACTCACTGTGCCCGCTTGATCCAGAAATAGTGGCCCTAGCTCTGAGCCATCTCAGTGCCCAAGGGAAGGCAAAGGGGCTGGGCGACAGGGACTGAAGTGGTTTAAGGACAAAGCCATCACTAATACATCCACCGAGGCGCTCGGACTTCCTTACCGGCCCCCCCTCAGCAAAGACAAAGTGTTCGATCTCATTCTGGCTAGAATGCCACTTTCTGGGGGGTCACCTTGGTGCACCCAGAGGCCCCATTCTCTTCTCCTTGGGTGAAGTGCAGGGAGAACCCAAGAGGGCAGAAACCAAAGAAAGGGAGTGATGGAGGAGGAAAAGGAGGATGGAAGGGGATGGAAGGGGAAGGAAGGGGTGACGGTCAGGGGGCTCAGGCTCCCTCCTTCAACATCCCCTGAGGTCACTGGGGGAGGATACCGGGCCCTGGGCCAGCAGCGGGACTTTTGGGGCTCCCCTACAGCCTTGGGTCCCCGCAGGGAACTGGACCGGAAGAGCCCATCGCCCTCTCACCTTTTATTTGCGTCTCATACTCGGCCTGCAGCCCCCGCTCCCGGCCCAGCTTCCCC